GATTTTGTGAAGCGATATAAATGATAGTGGAATAATCATTTGATTTGCAATTCATTTTGAAGTCCAGTAGAATGCAGTTCTTGACACCTGTTACTCAGCTCTCTCTTTCTCTTGCTCTCTCTCGCTCTCACTCTCTTGCTCTCGCTCTCTTGCTCTCTCTCGCTCACGCTCTCGCTCTCGCTCTCGCTTTCTCTCTCTCTCTCTCTCTCTCTCTCTCTCTCTCTCTCTCTCTCTCTCTCTCTCTCTCTCTCTCTCTCTCTCTCTCTCTCTCTCTCTCTCTCCCTCCCTCCCCCTCTCTCTCTCTCTCTCACACCTGTTTGTTTACAATTGTCTTGGGCGACAGTTTTTCCATTTACTCTCTTACGCCTGGCAGCGCACACACCAACCAATCAGAGTCCTTGAAAACAATGACGTCTGATTGGCAGTGTTGAGAAACGTCTAGCGCCTGAGGTTCTTCGCGTTCTACCAAAGAGGCTGTGCGAATGGGCGACGAAAAATTATGAATTATGATAATAATGATAATGATTATAATGGTAGTAATCAATAACTACAACAAGAGCATTAAAAAGGAATATGATTAGATTGGTAATAATGGTAATAATTATAAAGGTAGTGATAATGATAAGGATAATAATACCAATAACAACAGCAAGAGTAATAAAAATGAATATGATAAGATTGGTAATAATAATGATAATTATAATAATGACAGTGATAACAGAAATAATGGCAATAATGAGTATAATAATTATAATGTTAAAAACAGTGATATTGGTAATAAAATAATAATTAGAATAATAATGATAATGACATTAATAATAATCATATAGGTAATAACAGTAGTATTAATGATTTGAAAATAAGAATAACCATGAAAACAATAATATTATTAGCAATAAGGATACCTATAATAATCATAATGATGATCATGATTATAAGAATAACAACTGCGTGTTTGTTAAATATGTAACGCATCAGTGAACATACTCTATAACGATATGTATGACAACACTGTTATTACTCACACTGTCACTATGGTACGAGGCTATGAGTCAGTGTAGGATCAGTTTCCTATCTCTGACTTATCCTTGTGTGATCTCTCCTGTCATGCATCACCGAAGGATTTACGCGAGTTTATCTATCCATACCAGATAGACATTCTGTGAACACCATACTACATGGCGGAGTGAGTAGGATAATAATAGATATTATTAATATCATTATCCTGCATTCTCACCAAGGAGCGGATTTGGCTGTCTGTAGGCATAGATCAATATTTTAGAGGTTTGTCAGCTCTCTAGGGATACAATGTGAATATTACTTATGTACCAGACTGGTATTCTTTGCTTGGAAATTTAAATTTGAATTTGCTGCTTAAATATAAATAGTGTATTGTGTGTTAAGGAAGTAGACTATATGAATGTGTATTATTGTGAATCCTGCATACGAACAATACATCTAGTAGATTTGTTATGGACCACTGTTGCTTAATCTTATTGTTGTTGTACTCCTGTAAAGTACTCCAGTTACTATTAAGGAATCACTATATAGTTATATCATAATGCATGTTTCTTGAATTCCATGACCAATGTGAATTGATTCTGAAAGCATTTGGTGAATTTTATACTGTCTTTCAGCCTAAATGTTTCCTGACTCCTGTTTCCTGTATCCTGTTTCTTGACTGTTTCCTGTGCTGTCTCCATGGAGCATTACCCAGGAGAATAAATCAGGTACTTCTGGAGAGCATTTCAATTTACACCCCGTAGAGTAGCTCGGACAGCACATCTCATACCCTGGTAATGTTGGTAACCTTGCAAGAATAATGGGTATTTTACAAGTAATAAGAATTTTGATGATGAAGATGATCATAATAGTAATGATAATGATAATAATAATGATAATGACTAACGATAACAATAAAAAAAATAATAGTAGGGAATAACAATAATAATAATGGCAATCATGATAATAATGATAATGATAATAATGGTAATAATGATATGTTAATTATATAATAGTAACAAGAAGAATGATTTTGATAATGGTAACAGTGATAAGAATGATGATGATGATGTGTATGATGATTATCATGTTAGTGATAATATCAATACTAATAATGAACAACAATATCAACAATATGAAGTTAATGAAGTGAAAGGTAAAGGTAAATGGTGGTTGTGATGATGATGTTGATGATATGATGATGGTAATACTAGTATAAATAACTATAATAAGAAGAACGATGGTAACGTTTAATAATAGACCAAAATAGAAGACACTTCACTGAACATTTTAATAACGTTTTCACCGGCACTATCAGGAACAATAAGGGTGGCAGAAACAATAATGACGGAACTAAAGCTGCTCTGACGTAATCGCCCCAAAGACAAGTCACGTGTGACTCTTGGTTTGTGGACGGAAACACTCGACCTTGGTAACAACCGTTAGTGTATTTCGTAAACCAGGTGAAGCGTGCTACTAGCGGTGTGTGGTGCCTTTGTACTGTTTGCTACACGTCGGGATAGGCACGGTGTTTGCCTTGGTGTATCGCCGCCCTCGTGCCGGTTACCAAGATAACGGTTTCCTGTTGGAATACAGGTCATAGCTCGCAGGAGGAATAGAAAAGGGCACGTTTTTAGCACTATAATTGTGACTGATGATGCTTTACTTTTATATATGTATATATACATATATATGTATATATATTAAAGGTAAACAACACAAATAATAACTATTTTGATTTTACCTTCTTTTTTATTCATTTTCATTTGTTAATAATATCAAAAGTCCAGCTTTTTACCCTTGTCTTTGAAGCAAGTGAAATTCGTTTTAGTTACTTTCTCTGTTATGTCTGTTTTACGGAATGAGAATGCTGTAACTGATAAGATATATCTTACTTCCTCACAAACATCCTCATCCACATTTGTCAATTTTTTTTTTCTATTCCATTTTATTTTTTTTATTTCTTAACACAATGGCCGTTTCACATGGCTGGTTTTACGACAGCTCAGTCAGGTACGTGACCTCACCTTCTTTCTTATAATACTATTCATGTAGATAATGTTATGATTCTTACTGATGTTATGATTCTTATAATGTTATGAAAATACTTCTGTCAATAAAAAAAAATCTTTCCGAAGATTAAGGAAAAGAGGAAACGAATGAGAAAGATAAGATTAACAATTAACTCCTTGGCAACTAAGCACTCGTGGCGCCATCTATGTGTCCACACAGTAAATATAATCATAGTGGACATGGTATGTATGCGATGCCACGTAGAAGATGAAAATTACTATTGTGCTAATTTTGTATTTTGTTTACAGCACACTTGAATTCTGTTTACAGTATATGTATACACTTAGTTGCTCGGATAAAAAACAAAAATATAGACATAAGTAGATTTATAGCTACACACCTAAATGGACTAGCACATGAATATAAAGGCAGATAAGGACAAACAAAGGGATAGATAGGCAGGCAGACAGAGACATACAGTTAGATAGATTGATAGATAGGAAAATAGATAACAGACAGCCAGATAGACGAGAGACATTTAATTGAGTGAGGGGGTGGGGTATCATACAGCAAGACAGACCAATACGTAGACAAATGGACAGAAGGATAAGAAGTACAATCAGAGCAAAACACTGCTTTCGGATAAATTACCGTGGAATAAGGCAACCAGAAAACTCGTAAAGTAAGACAAATGACTAAGGGCTACTGTTGGCATTTTCTCCTTCATCAA